AATGTTTTAAGTTAAATACCGCTTTTGTTTAGGATTACAGGTGTAGTTGAGTTCATCATAGCGTTTTACATAAAATAACTTGCTGACTAGATTTTTTTTATGATAGAGAACAAGCTTTATAGGTGGTAGAGCCACGCTGTAATACCATATGATATTGCAGCATGAATGGGCCGGCTCGACCGGGGAAGTACCACACCCTCATAGAATACCGACGCTAAGTGGTTGCACTTTCAGTGCGATCACATTCCGTATGGTGAGTGAGGGAGTCCGGAGGCCCATCCCATACCCATCCCATACCCATCCCTTTCCTATTCCTAAAATCCTTTCCCCAACCCCGTCCCCCTATCTTACAACACGCAACCATGGCAGTGGAATTAAAAAAAAATAACATACCCCAGGGAGGTACCAGTAACCATGTTGCTGGAGAATCCTCTCTCGAGCAACCACGCTCGGGCTGCCCTGCGTATTCTGGGGGGGCAAAATTCCGCTCTTTGGAACCAAGGGCAAACGGAGCAAGATTTCTACGGCATCCCCTTCGCTCAATGTGAGCTTCTGCAATATCAGGGGATTACATTCTAACCTAAACGCTGTCCACCACCACCTAGAAACGGCGCGGCCTGCATTGCTCTTTCTAACGGAGACACAGATATCCTCTCCAAACGAAACTTCATACCTGACGTACCCGGGCTATAAACTTGAACATTGTTTTGTTTCGCGTGCCGGTGTATGCGCGTATGTCAGAGAGGATATCTGCTGTCGCCGCCTTGGAACTCTTGAAGGTACGGACCTGTCTATTTTATGGCTGCGCGTAGACTGCAATGACCATCCTCGCGTCTATGCATGCCTATACAGGTCCCACAGCGGTAACATCGAAACCGACCAACTCATTGAGCACGTCCAAATGGCTACAGATTCCCTGCTCGAACAGATTCCTTCCGCTGAAGTCGTGATTCTTGGCGATTTTAATGCCCACCATACCGAATGGCTTGGTTCACGTACAACCGACTATGCGGGAAGATCTGTTCATGACTTTGCTTTGGCTTATGGTCTGACGCAGCTTGTTTCCTCGCCTACGCGAATACCTGATGTGTTGGACCATTCACCTTCACTGTTGGACCTTCTGCTGACCACCCACCCAGACAACTATGTGATTTCCGTCGAAGCTCCGCTTGGATCGTCGGATCACAGTCTGGTGCGGAGCGAGGTGCCTCTCATGAGTCCGATTCCACCACGTTCCACGGGTAGACGTCGTGTTTGGCACTACAGGTCAGCTGACTGGGATGAGATGCGGATTTTTTTCGCATCTTACCCATGGAGGCAGGTTTGCTTCATACTGGATGATCCCGACGCCATTGCCGATTCCATTGCTGATGTGGTGCTTCAGGGAATGGAATTATTTATTCCTAACTCTGTGGTGCCCGTCGGCGGGAAATCCCAGCCCTGGTATGGAGCCTCTTGTAGAACAGCATCTCGTCTGAAACAGGAGTGCTTCCTAACCTGGGCTAAAGGTGTGGCGTCGCGAGATCCTAACACCAGTGCTCTTAAAAAGAAGTATAACTCTGCCTCTAGGTCTTTCAAAAGAGTTATAGCCACAGCGAAGTCAGAGCATATTAGTAGAATTGGCAAGAGATTGGCTAGTTTGCCCTCTGGAACTCGAGCTTTCTGGTCTCTTGCCAAAGCTGCACAAGGGAATTTCTGTAAGTCATCTTTTCCACCATTGCGCAGGGAGGATGACTCGTTGGCCCAGAACGCTAAGGAAAAGGCCGATCTTCTTGGATCCATCTTTGCGTCAAACTCGACATTGGATGACGGGGAGAAATCACCACCGACCATCACGTGTTGTAGGAGCTCTATGCCTGACATTAAATTCACGCATAGCTCAGTGCGTAGAGCACTTTTCTCCCTCGAAATCCATAAGTCGAGTGGGCCCGATGGTATTCCTCCAATTGTGCTTAGGACGTGCGCACCAGAGTTGGCTCCGGTTCTTACGCGTCTTTTCCGGCTTAGCTACTCATCGGGCATAGTCCCAAAGTTTTGGAAGACTGCTCTGGTGCATCCGATCCCTAAAAGGAGATCGCTCAGATCCAGCTAACTATAGGCCCATAGCTATCACTTCCTTATTCTCGAAGGTTATGGAATCCATCATTAACCGTCAACTGCTCCGGTACCTAGAAGAGCACCAGCTGATCTGTGATCGCCAGTACGGCTTTCGACAGGGACGTTCGGCCGGTGATCTTTTAGCTTACTTAACACACCGATGGGCAGTGGCAATCGAGAGTAAGGGAGAGGCCTTAGCAGTTAGTCTGGATATCGCGAAGGCCTTTGATCGGGTGTGGCATAGAGCGCTGCTTTCAAAGCTACCTTCATTTGGGTTGCCTGCGAGACTGTGCATTTGGGTCGCCAGTTTTCTCAAGGAACGTAGCATTAAGGTCGTAGTCGACGGAGCATGCTCTGATTTAAAACCTTTGAATGCTGGTGTCCCGCAAGGCTGTGTACTATCTCCGACTCTGTTTCTTCTGCATATCAATGATATGTTACAGATAAGTAATATTCATTGCTATGCAGACGACAGTACAGGAGATACATTATATACCGGTCATGCAAAGATCTCGCGGGCACATACCGATGAGTGCCGGAATAGACTTGTGTCTGAAATCGAAACTTCACTCCATCAAGTTTCGATCTGGGGTGAACAAAATCTTGTCCAATTTAACCCCAAAAAGACACAAGTCTGCGCGTTTACCGCAAAAAAGACGCCGTTTGTCGTATCTCCTCACTTTCAGGGCACTTCCCTTGATAAAAAGTCGAGTCTAGGAATTCTGGGCGTTGATATATCTTGCGACGTCCAGTTTTGCGGTCATCTGGAGGAGAAGGCTAAGATAGCTTCCAAAAAGTTAGGAGTGCTCAATAGGGTGAGACGATATTTCATGCCAGAACACCGCCTGAAATTATATAAAGCCCAAGTCAGGCCGCATATGGAATACTGTTCTCACCTGTGGGCAGGAGCGCCACAGTACCAACTCCTTCCGTTAGACCGCATTCAGAGTCGGGCGGCTCGAATTATCGATAGTCAACGCCTTACTGTCCGACTTGATCCACTGAAACTGCGCAGAGATGTTGCATCTCTGTGCATCTTCTACCGAATTTATCATGGGGAGTGTTCTGAGGAATTGTTCGGATTGATACCTGCTGCTGATTTTCACCACCGTACAACCCGCCACAAACTAAAGTTTCATCCCAATCATCTGGACGAGTGGCGGTCTTCCACCGTGCGTTTTTCAAGGCACTTTCTTCCACGCACAACCATTCTTTGGAATCAACTTCCAGCAGCAGTATTTCCGAACCGATACGACAACATAACCTTCAAGAAAAGAGTATATTCCTTTTTAAAAGGCCGGCAGCACACCTGCAATGCCGCTGGTGTTGTGGGTGATCATGGGCGGCGGTAGTCACTTACCATCAGGTGAGCCGTATGCTCGTTTGCCCCCTGTGTTGTAAAAAAAAAACAAAAAAAAAAAGCTGACCTGATGGATAGAGGTAACTGTCACATATACATTAGATAGATAGATAATTTATTTACATTACTTACAACACACAAATTACAATATAAACGTACACACAATACACAGTAAAAGAAATAAAAGAATGAAAATAAAAAAGCAACAAAACAAAAAAAAAAAAACAAGAAGCAAAATATATAAACCAATGATTTACTTTCTTTCTTTTCATTCATGCGTGTGCCGTAGTAACACAAAATGGTCACAACTCAGTTTATTGCTTTGCCCTCAAAAGAGCAAAACACTGATATTCTGTTGTGGCCAAGAGTGTACTCTGTAATGTACACCTGATGGGTTGCCTATCCTAAGGACTAAGGCGGTTTATTTTAAATGGATGATAATGGAATGGTAAGCTCGCCTGCGCTAACGGTATACGCTGATAGGGCACCAGTGAGGGATGATAGGTGACAATGAAAAGACAGGTCAGTTAGCCTATCGTGACGGATTCACTTGGAATAGAATACGATAGTTTCCAGGAGGAACCGCGAGGAGGTTGACTTGACAGTTTGTATTGCTATCATTGAGGCTACTAATCCCCATTTTTAACAATCCATTATCCCCCAGGACTAAGGCGTTATGTTTGTGTACCTTGTAATTTTACTGCCATGTCCCACCCTGCAAACTGAAATACAGTCATGCAAATACTAACTACCGGGGGGAAGGGATTAACGCAGGCGAGGTTACCATTCGATGATCATTCATTTAAAAATATACTAAATCCCTGCAATGCAGATTCAGATTTCGATTCAGATTGTCACTCCACCATTAGACCCCATTATATATAATCCCTTTCCCTTCCAATAATGTATTGAGAGTATCTATTGAGATTGATATAATAGTTAGGTGCAAGTAAGTGTACGAGATAATTGTAAGTATATAAGAGTGTTTGTTCATTTTCCTGCTATTGAGAGATTGTTTTGGGAGTTAGGATTACTGCTTATCAGCCGCCAAGTTTAATGAGATACGGGCCCTTTCCAACAAATATATTGTTCCTCTTATCTCTTTTAGGTTTGCTCACAATGATCTCACAGTGACTCAATACCTCTATTTATAGTTTACTATCCGCCCGCTCCGGATTCGTTTAGGTGTGCTAATGAAAAAAATGACACGAAATCTCTTTTCCATACATATTTTGGACATAGGCCTCTCTGATAGACTGCCATGGGATCGATGCGATCCTGAGCCACCCGCATCCACTGACTCCCTGCAATGTATTGAGGTCGTCACTCCATCTAGTGCAGGGTTGTCCTACATTGCGTTTTCCCGTACGAGGTGGCCACTCAAGAAACTTTCTTTCTCCAATGGTTGTCGGTACTTCAAGCTATGTGACGAGCCTATTGCCACTTCAGCTTGCTTATCCTTCAGGCTATGTCGGTTACTTTGGTTCTTTTGCGGATATCCTCGTTTTCTCGATAGGAGGATCGATCAATCAATAATATTTACCTGCAACCGGTGATAACTTCCGCATAACACACCATCGCGACTTCCACTGTAACAAAAGAAGAGTCCTTATTAATATTATTTTATTTATTTATTTATTCTTTACTGTACACAAAAAATTACAAACATATAATATATATTAAATAAAGATGTACGAGTTCTCTTCCAGCAAACCCTGAGTGGAAAGGAGTATTAATTACCAAATAAATGTGACAGATTGTGTTTCATTTATAACGACAAATGGCTCTGATTACCTCATCTGAGATTGTGATCTCAGACGAAGTAGTCACAGTTATAGAATGTTGCTGTTTTAAAGACAAGTAATACTATGTATATATATATATATATATATATATATATATATATATATATATATATATAATATATATAATATATAATATATATAAATATATATATATATATATATATATATATATATATATATATATATATATTCTTTATTAGAACAGTATATAGATATTGTAACTAAAATATATATTGCTACATATTACCCAAGCCATAATGTTTAACAAATTGAACGACAAATAGTGGCGAGCGATATACGGCGACGTTTGTCGTCATGTGAGAGAAGCTAGAAAGTATTATATGTGTACATATAATAATTCTTTCCATTTAATAGAACTTTATATATATAAATAAATATAAACTAACGAATATTTGCCTTCACCATAGGACAGTGTACTGAGGTCAAACAGTAGTACAAATAAAAAATTGATTATTGGCTTAAATATTTCGATTTGTTGTTTATTTAATTAAGACAGTTTATTTGCAACAATTTTAGTTGCATTTTCAATAATATTAAAGGAATTAAATAATTCGTCAGTGTGGTCCCGGCATAGAATAGGACATCCCTTCCTTCCCCATGGGTGTCGTAAGAGTCGACTAATGGGTATAAAGATGCGACTAAAGGGCGAGGAATGGGCAGCAGAGTTATTTTTTAAACATCTCCAAAGCCTAACTGCGGTTGCCAATCCGCCTGCCAAGTGGCAATTACTGTCAACCCCCCCCCCCCCAAAGGGGAGCTGATATGAAGCATTTAATAATCCATCCAAAGGTTGCCTAGAAGAGATCGCTCTTAGCGATAAGGTCGCACATTGTTTTCTCATTGTGATTATTTCTTGTAATTGTTTATATTTATAATAAGTTTACTATTGTAATCTTTTGGAGGAAACAATCAAGAGTATCTATCTATCTTAATAATGTACATACATACACTTACAAATATATATACTTAGTCATGATACTAGTCGTGAATTTATGTTAATTAATTTTTACTTATATTTTCATCTAGATAAAGATCAAAGTGGCACGCTCTTTAGCAACCTATAATGAAATATGTATATAACGACAGATCGCGGCGGGCGAGCGACTACAATCGCCAGTTCTTGCGTGAACAGTACAAAGTTGCCGTATAGCTTGCTGTCTCGGTTACAGGCGATTCGGTGCGCGCGTACCGAGTTGACGATTCACTGTAGGGTCGACATAATTTGTTGAACAATTTATAGTATTTTCACTGTATGTTAAATTGCTGATGACTTCGTTCAAATGAACACATATATTATATTATTTAGAATTATATGAAATTTTTGTACTCTTAAAAAAATATTACGTAAAGAATATCTCACCAAAAAAGAATGTATTGCAATTTATTGAAATTTGGGAAATAATTTTGTGTTCTATTGAACAGTACACAAAATTTTGGATAAAAAAGTATTTTATTGTTTTATCGACGCTATAATTAAACTGAATTTAATGGCTTATATTGCGCAGTAGCTAACTATCTAATCCTGGTTGTTACTTATGCGATTAGACTGCGATAAAATAATTGTTTTTATTACCAAAACATATTTGTGTGAAGAGATAACAATTCTCGTGACTGTAATTCTAAATATATAAAGTAACATACACATAATAGAATCGAACATCTTTAGAAACTTCTTTACTTTTTTTAATCTCTCACATTTGTAATATTAGAATACAATAGAATACTTCATTTGCTATGAATATGTGTAACAGAGTTCTCATTTAATAAGTAGACAGTTCCCTATTCAGCTAATATTAAGAATGCAAATTATATAAACATAGTTTTTGTTTTTTGAAAGTTACTAATAATTTTACAATAAATAATCTCGTACATACTATGTATTACTAATTAATAAATAATTTATAATTCGAAATATTTACATTATAAAGACTGCGACAATTAGTAGGATTATTATCAGATAACGTGAAGCAAGTCATATTCTCTATAAAACGAAGAAGAAAGTAAAACATAGGTGAGAGCAATGATAGCTGGTTTTTTCGTCATATTCGTAAACAGGTGTTGCTTGTAGGAACTGATCTGTTCAAGTTTGTTTATTTCACACCGAAAAATCTAATTATCGTTACAGTACCCACACTAATATGAAATTATCTTGTACATAAAAAAAATTGCATAAAGTTCTGTTGAGTTTCTTATGGGTTCTGCTGTGTAGATAAAATCATTCCGAACGCAGTAGTAGAATCATCCAAAATTTACTAATTAAAAAAGCTTGTATATAAGTCATTACTCAAGATTAATTATACATGTTTGTATTATCTAATATGTGTCAATTGTTGAAATGATCATCTCTATATTGTTTTTTTTTTTTTTTTTTGGTAATTTCCATGTTTTAATTTTCTCGAGCAACAAAATAATCCATCACTGTTGTGACAAAAAAATTATAAATGTATGTACACCACAGTCTACAGAACTCCGTAACAAAGTCATTAATTAGTCCGTCATTTTTTAAATTTAAGTACACTATAGTCGATCGACAGAATCACTCGGCATCGCCGCTCGCCGCCATGTTGCGCGACGCTCGCGCGACCGCACCCCCCGCACTTTAGTCGCCCGGTGTGTGTCAAAGTGAACGCACGTCGTAATAATTTGCAATAAAACCATTTTGTAATGAGTGAAATTGACACAGACAAACTTATTAAGGCTGTTAAAGCCCGCCAGGGGTTGTACAACAAGAATGACACACTGTACTACAGCCATAAGAAGTACAAGACGAAAATGTGGACGGACGTTTGTCGGGAGGTGTATTCGAATTGGGACCAACTGCGGCCTCAAGATAAGGTCGAATATGGTATGTATTGTTTGTACTTTCTGCGGAAATGCCCGGTGTAAGCTGGGCCTTGTTCAAGTTTTTAATCTATAGAAATGTTTCCAAATATGAACGAACGACTAGCGGGAAATTAGGTTGCGAAGTCAATGCCTTGTGTTCCCGGGCGTATTTAAAACTTAACTTATTGGACGCGTACATTATATATCTAAATACTTTTTGTGGGAAATTGCTTCGCGTGGTAAGCTCTAACTTTGATTCTAGGTTTAAGCCAATTTAGGAAATAAAGTTTTCAAAGTGGGAACGGGCTGGTCACCGATGGGGAAGAATGGTTCTTGAGTGGCGATTCCTTCTTCACAAACGCAATATAGGACGACCCCCGCCCCCCACTAGATGGAGTGATGACCTCATTGCAGGAAATCAGTGGATGCAGGTGGTTCGGGACCGTTCCGTATGGCAGGCTGTAAGGAAGGCCTATGTTCAGCAATGGACTGATAATGGCTAATATAATGATGATGATGATGATGATGGTGATGAAATTGGCTCAAGCCTGACTATTCTGGGTTGTGTTCCCGGATGTTTCATGCCTGGTTCCATACAACCGGGATATCCTAGCCTGAGATTTTTTTTTATGCGTGAAAATGGCATGGTCTCCCCGCCTGCGCTATCGGTATACACTAGCGGGGCACCAGTGAGCGGTGATAGGTGAGAATAAAAAGGCAGATCAGTTAGACCATTGTGACAAATTCAATGATAAATTGGTCACGATAGTTTCCAGGGGGAACCGCTTGGAGGTCGACCTGATAGGGTATATTGATAGCAATGGGGACCAAATTAGAGAATTAGGCGTGGGTAATATGGATACCGATCCGATATCTATATATTAGGTTTCTCTGGATAGAGAAACGATCATTACTCATTTCGATAACGGCCATATCGGTCGGTAATCTATTTTCGAATATATTAAATAGTCTGTTATCCAATTTTATTTTTTGGTTAACAGACTATTGACGTATTCGTCATTGGGTCCGTATAAAGATATTGTAACTAAAATATATAGCTTTAAATATAAGGCAATATCTATATACTGTGGGTAATAACCCACCCCTATTGAAAATTAGGCGATTGGTGTGTTTGCATGGCTGTGTTTCGGTTTGAAGGGTGGGATATGGCGTGAATTTACAGGGTACAGAGGAATAACACCTGAGTCCTCAGGAATGGCAACGCATGGAGGGTATCATGAGTGGAACAGTATACTCTGTTATGTCCATGGTACTGCTCATGTCTATAGACGACGGTTACCACTTTTCATCAGGTGGGCCGTCAGCTTGTTTGCCATTCTAAGTTGTATAAAAATATAAAATTACTAAAATTATAAATGTGAAAGTGAGATTGTTTTCTCTTGGCGCTTTAACGACTTAACTGATCACCATTAATGGTATACACGCACTATATGGGATGGACAAGAATACAAGGCTTTTATCACGGTCAGTGAACATATTCCGGTCACACGGACAAAGTCGCGGGTAAAAACTAGTAGTAAACAAGCTGATGCTCGATCATAGACTTTCATATAATGTGCGTGTAATGTATTGTTCTTTATGCTTTGCTCGAGGACTAAAATTTTTCTGAATTTTTTTACTGAATACGAATCCAGGAATTTCAGGATAGCAGAAACGAGAAGGATACTAACGACTTTTTTAAACACAGATTCTCCCACTAATTGCGTTACATAAAAAATAAGATTTTTTATAAAATTGGTTGTGTTATCATACCGCCAAGTGGTAACAGACAAATAAACTGACTTTTACATTAGTTTATAATCCTACTCAGTATGACTAAATAAAGTATGTTATGTTCTAAATAAGGATATAACCTATCCGTGTACCAAATTACATTCAAATCTGTTTAGCAGTTTTTGCATAGAGCAACAAACACCCAACTTCACGATAGATACAAACAATAGCATTTGCAGTAAGGACTAAAATATTACCTTTTAATTTAAGCGCACGAACTTCAAAAACGCTGGAAGAGTCTACGTACCTGTTTCACGAGAGAACTAGCATTGCAGAAGAAGGAGAAAATGAAAAGAGACGCCAACGAGGGTCCTTTCAAAAGGAGGAAGAGATACGAATATTTCAGCCAGCTAACGTTTCTGTTGAATCCGGAGGCCATCGAGGAAGCGGAGGTACCGGCGGAGTCCGACGATGAAGGATCAGACCCACTAGAGGGTCACATAAAAGCGGAAAGCTTCGAATACCACGATCCAGGTGATTCGAGAAACAATGTAGACACTAATGATAGTATACCCCTTCAGCAAACTTTGTATGAAAGAAATAATACTGTGGAAGAAAAGATATTAGATATGTTGAGAGATATAAAGCGGGACGAAGTTGATGAGGATAGACAGTTCATGCTCTCTTTGGTGCCAAGTTTTAAAAAGTTGAATGACAAACAAAAGTTTGAAGCCAGAATTGAAATGTTGAAAGTATTAAAGAATATCAGTTTCCAAGAACAGTGATATAAGTTAATTGGTGATTTAGAAGAGTACCAGACTTACCAGAGGGAGACTTTGTACAAAAGTCAATTGCTTGGATACCTCTGTCTTATTCGTGTTTCCGCCGTGAAGCAGTTGTGTTTGCATGGCTGTGTTTTCGGTTTGAAGGGTGGGATATGGCAGTGAATTTACAGGGTACAGAGGAATAACATCTGAGTCCTCAGAAATGGCAACGCATGGGGGTAATATGGGCGAAACTGTATATTGTTATTTCCATGCTACTGCTCATGTCTATAGGCGACACTTTACCCACTTTATACCACTTTCCATCAGGTGGGCCGTCAGCTTGTTTGCCATTCTAAGTTGTATAAAAAAAAACTTCTATGGGATCAATCTGTAAGTATATCCTTTCAGATAAAAAGATTTTTACCAATCGGTGTAAACCTGACGGAGGTATGAGATAACAAAGAATTGAATTGGGAACTTCCTTCTTTTTGAAGACGGTAAAAATGAAGTTTATTGTTTTTGGTTGTGTAGAGAGGTTTTTCAAACGACTTGCAAAATCGGAAGGGTCTTATGTCGGTTATATTTTTTTTATGTTTGTTGCTTTATTACTCCGTTAGTTTTTTTTAGTGGGTGATAATTTTATGGTAACCCCACCCGCGCTCTCGGTATACACCGGCGGGGCACCAGTGAAGGATATTAGGTGAAGATAAAGCAGGTCAGTTAGCCTATCGTGACGAATTGAACAAGAATTGTTCACGATGGTTTCCAGAAGGAACCACGTGGAGGTCGATCTAATAGGGTATATTGCTAGCAATGGGGCTGTCAAACTCCATTGCTAACAATCTCTTTCCTTCCTTACTCCGTCAGTTGGAAACCGATTTGGAAAATACTTTTTTTATCTGAATAGATATATAGCCTAAGCGTTCACAGCAGAACGTTTATGTTTCTTACCTCATAACTCTGTCAGTTGTAAACTGTATATTCTTTTTTTATCTGAAAGGACATACTTACAGATACTTACCATATCTTACTTACCATTAAAATTTTATCAAAATCGGTTCAGTGGTTTAGTTTTGATATCACAATAACAGGTTTTGCCACAGTTTAAATCAGTTTGTTTTTTGTGAAACAAAATTTTAATTTTTGTTAAGAAAAAAATATTCGGGGAAAAAGTGCATTGAACTTTTAGCAACGATTTTGCAAATCTTGCATTGTTATTATTTGTATTACTTGGTTGAGCGGGGTCCTTTTTTAATGGGTCATAATGAAATAGTAACCCCGCCTGCGCTATCGGTATACGCTGGCGGGGCACCAATGAGGAATGACAGGTGATGATGAAAGCAGGTCAGTTACTCCATCGTGAAAAATTCCACGATAATTTCCATGGGGAATTGTGTGGAGGTCGACCTGATAGGGTACTTTTCTAGCAAGGGTGCTGTTAGACCCCATTACTAACAATTCCTTATCCCCCCGGTTGACCAGGTCAGTTATCTCAAATTTTCTTGTTATTTGGTTTTTAAACTTAGAAACTCCTTTGTGAATTGCGATTGTGATAATAAATCGAAGATTAAAAATATGCATAATATTAATTTTAATTAAGACATTGATATACTCTCTCGCCGTGTGGTCCCGGCATAGAATAGGCCACCCCATCCTTTCGCGTGGGTGTCGTAAGAGGGACTAAGGGAGGGCGAGGGACGGGCAGCAGCGTCCCTCTTAAAACATCTCCAAAGCCTAACTGCGGTTACCAATCCATCTGCCAAGCATGGCAACTACTGGCAAAACCCCCCATGGGGGAGGCTTATGTTCAGCAGTGGACAGTTAAAGGCTGGTATGATGATGATGATGAGATTGATCTTATTGTTTGTGACGCATGAATTGCGTATTTATTTTTTAAATATTCGAGTAACCTCAAAGGAAAATTATGTAAGTGAGAGCTAGTACAAGTTATTATAATGCAGTATGTATGATATTTGCTATTAAAGATTTTAACGTTTTGAAAAATAAAAAATATTTTCCATATATAACTGTTTTTTTTTTTTCTAATATCCATTCTTGTCTTGTAACATCTTACTAATATAATAAAATTGTAATTGAACGATGTCTGTGTATGGGAAATATATGAGAAAAATTCATGTAGAAGCAATACCTCTGTCCCATTCGTGTTTCTACCGTGAAGCAGTTGTGTTTGCATGGCTGTGTTTCGGTTTGAAGGGTAGGATATGGCGTGAATTTACAGGGTTCAGAGGAATAACACCTGAGTCCTCAGGAATGGCAACGCATGGGGGTATCATGGGCGAAACAGTATACTCTGTTATGTCCATGGTACTGCTCATGTCTATAGGCGACGGTTACCACTTTCCATCAGATGGGCCGTCAGTTTGGTTGTCATTCTAAGTCGTATAAAAAAAACAATGTTTATTAGGATTTTAAAGGCTGAATCTCAGGTGTTTTTTTTATACTACTGAGGTGGCAAACAAGCATACGGCCGACCTGATGGTAAGCGGTTACCGTAGCCTATGAACGCCTGCAATACCATACAATAATAGTGGTATTACGCGTGCGTTGCCGACCCTGAGGAAACCTCTTTACCCCCCTTTTAAAGAACCCCATGCTATATTTTGCTTTGCAAAGAACAATGGAAATTTCAATGATCGTGAAATTATTATGGAGCCAATATGGGAGTAAATCTTACTGATTGGGGGGATGGGATCGTTAGTAACGCGAATTACTAGTCCAATTACTAGCAATATACCTCGTCAGGTCAACCTCCACGTGGTGCCTCCAGGAAACCATCGTGCTGAATTCCAGGTGTATTCATCACGACGGGCTAACTGACCTGACTTTTCATTCTCACCTACCATCCCTCACTGGTGTCCCGTCAGTGAATAACGTAAGCGCGGGCGAGGTTACCATTCTATTATCATCCATGGGATAATTAATTTATTTAATAATCTATAACACATATATAAAACTAATATATTTCATAGAAGCACAAAAAAAAAAAAATTAATAATCAGTCGTATTCATGATCCGTACCCGACCCAAAGGTCCCCATGACACTTGCGGCATTTCCGCGTTGGATTGCCAGAGATATCCTTTGAGCCAGATACGAACCAGAACGGCGATCATCCGCAATGCGCAGACTCAACTCTCTCTTATGAAAGAAATCATCCTTTAAAAAAAATCTAATATTTTGCTTCGGAGTTTTTTAAATACAATTTTGCCATCAATATTTAAATAGTGAGGCTTATGTTCAGCAATGGACAGATAATGACTGACATGATGATGATGATGATGAACATTAACTATGTCATGATTGAAATTACTAGTATTTTTTTTTTACAACACACAGCATGCGGCTCACCTGATGGTAAGTGACTACCGCCGCCCATGATCACCCACAATACCAACGGTATTGCAATTGTGCTGCCGGCCTTTTAAAAAGGAATATGCTCCTTTCTTGAAGGTTATGTTGTCGTATCGGTTCGGAAATACTGCTGCTGGAAGTTGATTCTAAGCAGTGGTTGTGCGTGGAAGACAGTGCCTTGAAAAACGCACGGTGAAAGACCGCCACTCGTCCAAATGGTTAGGATGAAGTTTTAGTTTATGGCGGGTTGTACGGTGGTGAAAATCAGCAGCAGGTATCAATCCGAACAATTCCTCAGAACACTCCCCATGATAAATTCGGTAGAGGATGACAGAGATGCAAAATCTCTGCGCAGTTTTAGTTTAGTATTTTGTGCGGAGCAAAATCTATTTGTTAGATAACAAGTTAGTGCGGCGCAGGCGCCGATATGCAGCCAGTAAAATAGATAATAATGAATAGAAACAGAACGGAAGTGGAAGTGGATGATTCAATACTTGAATAGATGTGATCAAAGTCCTAGTTATGACTAATAGGTTCGAGTTTCACTTTTGTAACCGCGTATTGAGTTGCCATTGTTGGCTTTTACGACATCTTGGGGATGATACGACTCTTGGCTAGACCAGGTTATGGTATGATCTATCTGTCGCCGTTTTTCCAAGTGACTATATTTACTTTTTATTAATTTTATTTATTCATTAGTACATGTATGTGTACAAAGTGGATTTAATGCTAGAAGCATTCTCTTCCAGTCAACTTTATGGAAGTGTCAATACTCGACTGGGGTACTAGTAATAATTGATGTACATATTACTAACACCCCTTCCATTCCCGTAAGTGTCGTAAGTGAGTAAGGGAGGGCGAGGGATTTGCAACAGCGTCCCTCTCACAGCATCTCCAAAACCTAATTACGTAAAGCATCTCCAAAGCTTAACTGCAGTTGCCAATACGTTTACTAAGCGTAGCAACTCCTGGTAAAACCCTCCAAAGGGGAAGCCTATGCTCAGCAGTGGACAGTTTGAGGCTGACATGATGATGATGTTAATCAGGAATAACGTAACATTCTAATAGTGAAAGAATTTTTTAAATCGGTCCAGTGGTTTTTGAATTTATTTGTTACAAACATACATAAATACAAATCTTTTTTCGTTATAATATTAGTTTAGATAAGTAAACGATAACAGTTCCTCTTGTTAGAAAATTGTCACAATATTGTACACCACTCTACCTGCTGACATTGATGCTCCTTACCACTTTCTGTTTGCTGGAAGAGAACTCTTTTAGAGTTAAGCCCGCCTTTGTGTCTTTGCTTATTTCAGCCATTATACGCCCACTGCTGGACATAAGTCTCACCCATAGACTTTCATAAAGAACGGTCCTAAGCCAGCATCCACTGACTCTCTGCAATGCATTTCAGGTCGTCACTCCATCTAGTGGGGGATCGTCCTACACTATATCCCGTCCACACAATAAAGTATACATAAACAAAATATCAAATTTAAATTTTTAAAAATTTAATTCTGTATAAAAAATAGACAAAAAAATTATGGATTGCGTAATTTGAAACTCTAAAAACAACTGACGTTTTCACATTGAGATTGAATAATCCGTTTCATTTTGGTTGACACCATATTTAGCAGATATGGCCTGCCATAGATACACAATTGATAACATTACGCTATCAGGAAAATAAGTCACGTAAGAGGAGATAAACGTGTAACTTACCTACTCACTTTGCACAGTTTTATTCGAAGTTACTAGAAAGATTATAGGGTATATTTTTTTATGGAATTTCGAATGGCAAACAAGCTGATGGCCCGCCTGATGGAAAGTGGTAACCGTCGCCTATAGACGATATGTATATATATATATTTTTTTTACAACACAGGGGGCAAACGAATATGCGGCTCACCTGATGGTAAGTGACGACCGCCGCCTTTGATCACCCACAACAACAGAAACATTGCAGGTGTACTTGCCGTCCTTTTAAAAAGAAATATGCTCTTTTCTCGAAGGTTATGATGTCGTATCAGTTCGGAAATACTGCTGCTGGAAGTTGATTCCAAGGAGTGGTTGTGCGTGGAAGAAAGTGCCTTGAAAAACGCACGGTGGAAGACCGCCACTCGTCCAGATGGATGGATAGATATATAGAAATACATATATACATACAAAACAGGATGCTGAGTGACTAACTGTGTCTATATAACAACGTACAGTCGAAATCTTTGAATAGGTTAGGTTCATTCATTATATACCATAGGTAAACAATAAAACGAATTTTAAAAATTTAATCCCTAAGGGGGTAACATTTCGAAAATCCACGCGTACGAAGTCGCTAGCAAAAGCTAGTTTTTATTTAGACAGACTTTCTTTTGTTTTAACATTACCTTATTTATATACGCTTATAATAACTACCGGTTTAACTTAGATATAATTAGATAAAGAAAGCTCGACTAGTTGCGAGACCAATTCGTGACCCTTAATCATGAGCGGTTGTAACGCGAGCCTGACAATAAAAATGTATTGAATAGTTATTTATCGCAAGTTTAAATTTTGTGTGGAATGACGGTTAGAATTCACATAATGCTAATGTGTCGGTTCTTATTTCTTATCTTCGTATATTATAACATTATCTTGACACGATATCGCAAGAAACAAACAAAATACTCATATTTTTTCCAATAATTACATACCTAATTTGCTACCATATTTGTATATGTTGCAGTCAAAACTCTTAACCAGTCAAAAGTAATATTGACTAGCAAAATCAGTCAAAACTACTTTTCACTGAACAAATTGGTCAAAAGTGGTTTTGACTGAAAATTATTGGTTTAATAGTACTTTTGAATGCAAATTTGCAGTTAGGTTAGGTTAGGTACTTTTAACTGTTATTGACTAAAGCATACGGTTAAAAGTACTGTTTGATTTTGCTAGTCAATAGTACTTTAACTATTATCATTTTTTTTTGTAGAATACAAAATTTATATATATATATATATATATATATAATTAATACGGTATTTGATCCATAGTTGCATCGTGACTCTTAACGATTGTTTGACGATTATTTTATAATTAAAAATAAATTGACCCAAAATTTCTAAATTAGCGAGTGGTTATATTTATTACCATTATTATTATTTTTATTATGAAATAGTAATAAATAATCATAATTTTTGTCTTTATTCTCTTGTATTGAACAACTTTGTAGAACTACACATGTAGTAGGTGTACTTTTACAAAATACAAAAAAACAGTACAATTGTATGGACTATAATTCATTTAGGAAAATATCGCGTATTGTCTGTTACTTCAAGTTTATAAATAAAAATAAAAATCACTCGCCATTTTAGAAATTTTACTGCAAATTGTCTTTAATTACAAAATAATTAAAGCCACAAGCCCCGAATTAAGCGCCATCTAGAAGACAAGAAACACTGTCTAATTTTCTTTAATGACCAAAATAAATTTCCTTATTACTCGAGAGGAGAGAAGAGGACGACCGACATTATCGGAAGACCACGCCTCACTTCCAAGCGAAGCACAGTTCCAGTGCCCCAGAATTGAAATTGGGGCAAAGGGGTCTGCCCCGAGGCCCTCACCTAGAACTTCCCTGGTGGTGAGGAACTCAGAAGATCACGTTGATTGATTGATCAACCATCTTAATCGTTTTATTTTATTGTGAAATTCATGTCACGTTTGTTTATCTTGCACTTGACTTTACAGTACTGATAAATTTATCTATAACTCTGATACAGTTATTGCGTCCTCATATGATATGATTCTCGATTCTAACTGTGGACTATGATCTTTTTAACATAATATACCTATTTTAAATACACTATTGGGACTTAATGCGACGCAATTGCAGGTAAAAAGTACCTACATACATACAAACCAGACTTTTATTGCCGATATTTCGACATATATTGCTCCACGTCGTGGTCACGACTGGACTGCAGTAAGCAGCGTCTTCTAATGAGGGGTAGATGTCGCGCTTGGCAACTGTGCTATTGATGATGGTTCAAGAGGGATGCTGCTGCCATTCTTCGTCCTACCTTAGTCGCCTCTTACGACACCCACGTGAAAGGAAAGGGTGAGCCATTCTATGCTGGGACCACACGACAGAGAGATACCATTATAAAAATAAAAATGCGTTTGTTATTTTTTTGCTTACTGCCACGTTAATTAAATGACATTAAATGTGACATGCACGTCCATCCATTCGATCTCTAATATTTACTATATTTGAGATGGAAAAGAATTTAGACTAATTCCGGCCAATCGGACGAAGTCGCGAGTAAGAACTAGTAATAGTAAATAATATATGTACATAGATATATATGTTATGTTCATTTTGACATAAAGGATATCTCACCTTTTTCCCGTCGCGAAATTTGACAGTCCCCTCGATAATTGAGGTGGCGGGACTGGCGTCCGCCATCTTGGAGAACGTACGTCACGTGATGCGACCGCAGCGCCGCTGTATCAACATTATGCACTAACACATAATTCCACCGTGTTAATCACTTAAATCACCAAATCACTGTCTTCACTATAAACCTGAAACAATAAGATAAAATACTTTGTTATTTCTAAGAGTTTAAAAAAAAGGCTTTCGATTCTGCCACTGTTGAACATAGGCCTTCCCCATAAGGGGGGTTTTGCCATAGTAGTTGCCACAGTTAGCAGGCGGGTTGAACACTGCAGTCATTCTTTCGGTGATGTTTTAAAAAAGACGATGTTGCCTATCCTTCGACCATTGGGGGGGATTTTTAGTAATGCGGCCTACCAGTTCCATTGCCTGCAATATACCCTATAAGGTCGATCTTCACGTGGTCCCTCTGGAAACCATTGTACGGAATTCAAGGTGTATTCATCACAATGGACTAACTGAGCTGCCTTTTCATTCACACCTCTTCATATCATTCCTCACAGGTGACCCGCGAGCGTATACCATTAGCGCAGGCGAAGTTGAATTTACAGGGTACAGAGGAATAACACCTGAGTCCTCAGGAATGGCAACGCATGGGGGGTATCATGGGCGAAACAGTATACTCTGTAACAATATACAACATACTCCATCACGTGTAAGCTGTATAAAAAAAATAAAATAAAAAAGTTACCATTCCACTAACATCTATTAAAAAAATAAAACTTTCGACTATTAAGTTCCCTTAGTTACTTCTTACAACACTTACGGGAAAGGAAATAGTGACTCCTTATATGCTGGGACCACACGGTAAATAGTATAACCTGATTTTAAATAATTACATATTTTTTTATACATTACTAGCGGCCCGTCCCGGCTTCGCACGGGTAGACATTTTTACAACATTTCAAAAAGTGGTTATTGTGACATAATGATAATAGTTGGACATATAGTATCGCGAAGTTTGTTGTAGTTATTGATATTTTCTTCAATATTGTAGAACATACTTTTGTTTTATTACCAATAGTTTCTGCAGCGCACGCGACGAAAGATATTTTAGGCATTTTTTTACACCTTAAGTTTTAGTAAAGATCCCTAATCTTTTCTAGCAATAAATATAGCCTATGTTACTCAGGATGAATGTAGCTTTCTAATAATGAAAGAATTTCTGAAATCTGCAAAGTACTTTTTGAGTTTATTCATTACAAACATACATACATACATACATACAAAAATACAAATCTTTCCTCTATATAATATTAGTGTAGATACAAATCTAATTACAATCTTAATTATAGAAACAGGAAACATGTTTCCATTTACACGTTAACAAACAGGTACATATGTACTTTTGTCGTTTGCACAAGTAATGTGCATTTAATTAAATGTTAATAAAAACCTGTTAATAAAAAAAATGTACACATAATTTATTTGAAGGTTATGATTTATAATTAATTTATATATGCCTATAAGTCTTCATAGTCGAAAATAATAAATTATTGACTTTAATATTATTAGCATATGAAACAAATATACTTGGCCTCTTAATTAATTAATTAATTAAATTCTTTATTGTACACACCAGTTATAAGAATATGACAGAGGTAATCAAATGTACAAAGGCGAGCTTAACTCTAATAGAGTTTTCATCCAGCAACATCCAAAGTGGAAAGGAGCATCAATTTCAGCGGGTAGAGCGATGTACAATATTGTGACAATTTTTAAACAAAGAAATGTCTAGTTTCTAATTTAATTAATTACATTATATTTAATCGTATAAATATATATATATATATATATATATATATATATATATATATATATATATATATATATATATATATATATATATATATATATATATATATATATATATATATATATATATATATATATATATATATATATACATAAATATATACCTACAACTATGCATATAATTTATGTTATATTTATTGCTACAAATGATTATAATGACATTTTATGACTTATATTTTACAATAATTAATGATTCTAACTCTGATAATACTGGCATAATTGGTAGTGTTAATTGGTGCAATTAATTATTAATTAATTTTTTTGTAAATAATTACGTGATGTATTTGATAATTTTTATTCTATTGAAAGATTTTCATTTTTTTAAATTTGAAAACTTTTGTGGTAGAAAAAATTGTGGATATAAAAGTTGCAAGCATTTTGTTTAGTACAATTTATTTGTCAAATTGTGGAACAGCCAAAATATGTAGTTTTTTTTATGCAACTCAAAATAGCGAACAAGCTGACGGCCCACCTGATGGAAAGTGGTAACCGTCGCCTATAGATATGAAAGGAATTATTAGTAATGAGGATCTAATAGCGCCATTGCTAACAAAGTACCTTATCAGGTCGACCTCCACGCGGTTCCCACTGGAAATCATCTTGGTCAATTCTTGTAGAATTCGTCACGATGAACTAATTGACTTGCTTTTATCTTCACTTATCATCCCTTAATGGTGCACCGCCAGTGTTTGTTTTATCATTCCATTACTTATACTTATTTTATTTATTTATTATTTTATTTATTTTATTACATATACTTTTATCATTCATCATATACTGGCAAAGTAAATCATGCTTCAAAGGAATGAAACATGAGGATGGAGTCAGTTAAGTTGGTCGGTCTTGATGAATTCACCAGGATTTAACCTCGATAGTTTCAAGAAAGGGATCGCGTGAAGGTCAATCTAAAGAGTAGGTATATTGATAATAACTGGGCTTCTAGTCCCCGCTGCTAAAGAACGAAAGAAATTAGGAAATATTTTTATTCAAGTAAACTTAGATTAAAGCATTGAATAGCAATTTCCTTTTCATTACTTATTAACCGCCCTCCCTCCAAAATACATAGTACGAATAGAAACAAGTAAACGAACTTAACCCAACGTACATAAACTCGAAATACTTAAGTAAGTTGAGCGGAATTCCCTCACAAAGCTTGCCACGGGAGATGTTCAAAATTCTAGAAACTTCTTAGTAAATTCGATTTAAATCTCCCGACGGTAGCGGAGACGCATTTTATATGCTCCATTCGAAATTTTACCTCCAGTCAATATTCTTACTTCGTCAGCATATAGTGTTTTATTAGCCTCCGTCTCAGGGAGCGATGTTATAAGAGTGAATTATGAGCTTTGGGGTGTTCAAAACGAACCTTCTCGCGTGCACTGTAGTTTCTTTTTTAATTCATTAAAACTAATGAAACAAACGAAATGATGTTTTTTTTTCTTATGTTCATTGTAGTTGTTTTAATTAAAACAAATTAATCACTATCACTATCATCACTTCAGTATCATCACTTTACTATCACTACATAGTATAAAAGAAAGTCGCTGTCGCTGTCTGTCCGTCCGTATGTATGCTTAAATCTTTCTCTCTGATGATTCAAGAGGAAGGTTTATATGTATAATACATGCATAATATTGTAAAAAAACACTGATAAATTTAGAGGTTTCTAATGTGATGTCGTAAATAAACATGTATTTTTGCACTTACATTGCAAACGCTGGCTGAACCCCACGAAATAACTCAAAATAATGTAAGTACTACAGTTTTGTATACCTTGAAAAGGTCAACAAAAAAGTCCGTGATGGTATATGTCTATCTTTTAAGGATAACCTACAATAACCATTTTTTATCCTTTACATTTTACGGAAAAAAATGGCTTAATTAGGAAGTGATTTTAAGCAATACAGCATAAATTTTTATCCAATTAAGTATCATAAATACATTGTCAATTTAATATAGATCAATATGGCTCTTTACAGCATGTGATTTAAATGAATATTTTCGAAGATATTACAGATTTAAAATGCAGGGACATATTAAAATTAGTAAAAGATAAAACAAATTTATTTTTTTTAAACAGCATTTTTTTTGTACTGGTATTTTTATGGACTTAATCTATAAGTGTATTCTTTCAGAAAATAAAAAATTGTAAAGTGACACAATTAGGAGGCAACAAACATAAATAAATTGTGATTATTTCTTGTAATTATTCATTATAAATAGTCTCCCAACGCACCATACCGAGGCAGCCTACCCAAATTACTAGGACTGTGCATTTTTCAAGGCACTTTCTTCCATGCACAACCACTCTTTGGAATCAACTTCCAGCAGCAGTATTTCCGAACCGATACGACATCATCACCTTCAAGAAAAGAGCATATTCCTTTTTAAAAGGCCGGCAGCACACTTGCAATGCCGTTGGTGTTGTGGGTGATCATGGGCGGCGGTAGTCACATACCCTCAGGTGAGCCGCATGTTCATTCTCTCCGTGTTGTAAAAAAAAAAAAACTAGGAAAGTAAGTTACCATTATTCGTTACTTCAGTTGTTAATTTGTCTGTAATCTGATAGTCTGTGGGCGGTCCCATACTCTATCGTGTATAAAGAATATGGGGTTTATAAAGAACTGTCTGGAATCTTACTGATTTCGAAAATTCACCCATATATTACACTCTCTGATTTCAAAGTTCCATCTAGTATGGGTAGCTGTAAGCCACGTTTCTTGTACAAACTCGAAACCTACTCTTCAATTATCAAATTCTTCGAGCAGGCACATTGCCATTTTAATTCAAAATTACCAAAGAAAAAGGTACTTACAAGTATTTTTATATAAAAATATACAATCATTAAAATTTTTAAATTGTTTTTAACAGAACTTTTTAAAACTAAACGAATATCAAATAGGTTGTAGTATACTTATTGAGTTACAAACACAGCCTCATTTTCCCTTTAGACGATGCGACAAAAGTTTAAAATTAAAAAAGTTCAACTTCCTCGATTTATAACCACAAAGAGCGTATCGGTTACACGTTATAAGGATTCCGTAGCTTTTATTTCTTTAATAATGATAATTTATTTACGCAAAATAATTTAATATATCGCTTACCGATTACCAACATCATTGCTAGCTATATACCCTGTCAAGTTAACCTCCTGGAAACCATTGCGCTAGATTCCAGATGTATTCATCACGATGGGCTAACTGACCTGCCTTTTCATTCTCACCTATCATCTCTCACTGGTGGCCAGTCAGCGTATCCCGATAGCACAGGCGTACAATGCATGTCTGTGCTATCGGGATGCATTTTTTTTAGT